CTTGATCCTCCATGATAGCCATTTTTCTTGCCTATGTTGAGACTAGAACTGTAAAACTTTATGCAGTTATAAATTTGCCTGGTCCTTTGTGATTGTGCTGACTCAATCCAACAAACCATAAGCAACTGCAGGTAGCCATTAGCATTACATAGGATCAGACGCTTGTTTAATGAACAGAAATAGTATTCCACCTCTTCCCACTATTTTCGGACAGGCTTCCTCGCCATTTTTAAGTACCTTACGGTAGATCAAAATGTAATTTTCAAATGAAACGCGTACCAAGTGGACCACAACCAACCCGTAATGGCAATAACTTTAGAACGACCACAGAAAGTAATTTTCACAACTTACACATTTTTATCTGTATTTACAATGAACCTTTGGTTCTGAAGTTGTCTTCCATGCTTTTATATTTATGTTGTTAAAGCATCGGGTAAATTGGTAGGAGCTCCTAAGACCTTACCACCAACGTCTGGGAAATTCTCTTGTAGCTTCAATGTAAGCCATTCGAATGCAGTTGAAAAGTGCTATGTTGTATACACAATTTTACTACATATTTAAATGCTATAGCTATGACTCTAAATCTTACGTCGTATTTGATATTTCAAACATTTTATTGAAGACTAACTTTTTCCTCAACTTGTCTGACTTATTTCGCTTACTGGAACAGAATGTCGATATGTTTGGCAATCGTGTTGGATTTCTGAAATTCAAAGCTGATGTAATAATGATTAGCGAACGGGGAACAAGGTATTTTGTTTTCCATTGTGAAGACTATTGTGTATTCGTTGAGATGGACCTTTTTTCTTGTGGCCAATAGTGTTTTTTATCAAGCATTTTTCTCATATGAAAGTGGTAAATGAATGTTGTTGTATGTAAATGCATTCTACTGGTGTTCATGTTGTACTTATATATATGGGTTCAGGTTCAGCACAATTTTTGGTACAAATAAATCTTAGACTTCATCTCCTGCAAATCTATAATCAGTATTATATTGAGATAGAATAGATAAATCTATCGTTTTCTAAATACTTTATATAGTTTGTTAGAGACGGTATTTTTCTTAATTATACGGATATACAATACTAGAGTCTAACTGACGTGGAAGATGAACTTAATGCATTGAACCGAGCATTGGACAACAATTTTTTCGGGATGTAAGATCATTGATAAAATTGGCTAAAGTATTCTTTGTTGTATTAGAATTAATCTCATTGAGATGGTATTAAGAATTGTATAGAATTTGTGGCATGATAATCAGAAATCACATTATCCTACTTCATATTGAGCAAGTGAACTTTACAAGGACAAGTACATGATGAACAATTCTGCTATTTTATTTTTCTTTTTGCCCTTCTCCAACTCCAGTTTTCTCTGTGACCATCTCAAAAGCATGCTTCTACTTCACAAAATGTGAAATGAAGTGGTATAACATTATTTGAATATGATGAACATCTTCTCTTAAAACCAAATATAATTATAAAATGATATTACAACTGCTAATGTGCAATAACTTTTCTATTCTATACACAACTACTACTAATAAGAGTCACTTCTTGAAAATAAAACATAGATTGGACCAAAAGATCAAAAGAAAAATCTGAAATTACCTATATTGGACGTATCTATAATTACAGGAACTACCCACACAGGCACACTACTATCTTCAACAGGCATTCACCAAAATGTAGCCTTTTGATCTGCAGGCATAAATGCCTTCACTATATCCTAGTTTTTCATATATTGCCACAATAATTTTTTTTTTTTTTTTTAAAAAAAGAAAGTTGGATTCATAATTTAGACCGGAAGCCCTTCAGCAGTCAAACTAAGGGCTCTGTTTGGTCAGAGGTGCAACTATGGGCTCGAGAAGGAGTTGGCCTTATCGTGACACTTAGTACGAATGCTATCATCTACATTAAAAACAATTAAAAAAATTAACAACAATTAATATATATATATTTTTTTTTGGCTCATTTATATATTTGGCCAAGGAACTTACAGCTGCTAAGCCGGAGACCATAATGCTGAATCCAGGAAAGTGAAATGGTGCATCGTCCGATAGAAACAATGCTATAGAAAGAAAGCATGAATTTAATCAAACTATATTTTTCTCTATTTTTTTTTTCCCCTTTTTAAATATTTGAAGTTGGAAAAGAAGGATTATTTATAGTTACCTGTCAAAGGAGTAAAAGCAAGAGGAGAGACAATGTTGGCAAAAGAACATATGCCCGTAATGCACCCTTGCGTCTTTCCCTATTACCATTCATATATTAACGTGCTTTAGAGCAATTTAATGGAAAAAATCAAAATATTTAATCTTTTCCAGATAGTAACAACAGTAACCTGCTCACTCGGCCCTGTTTGTTTCGACGCAATGCTTCGTAGCTGTAAATATAAGGAGAATAATATTAGAAAATTCTGATCAAGATGATTTTTTTAT